AAGTCTTCAAACCTATGAGCCTATGGGAGCCATTGCTATTAAAACCACAACACTCATTAACAGGCAATAAAGAAGACTGCTCTGTGACCTGGTTGGGCCTGGGGAGCTTGTTAGTAATTCCTGAGAACTTCTTTCAAATCCTGTTATTTGGCCAAAAAGCTCATTCTTTCTTAGCAAGCAATATCTGTCGGCATCCTACCCGCATCACCCAACTGTCAGAACTGTACGGGGTCCAAGACTTGGCCTTTTATAATCCAGTAAGTTAACAGCCAGTTGCATAGATGCTGGCAGAAGATATGGACTTCCTGAATCATGTACAAAGAACTTTATAATGCATGTCCAGCAAGCAGCATGATAGTCAGTATAAGATTAAGGTGGTGGGGTCAGCAGGTCCAAAGAGGTACTTTTACACACAGTGGGTTTTATCATAAAGGAAAATACATGAACTTAGAATGGTCATTTTTTTTTTAAATCAAGGGTAGCAACCATGCTTTTATTGTGGGGAGAAGACACTATTTTCTAAGACTGTGTGCATGCTTGAGCTCTGTTCTGTGACTTGTAGGAGGAGCTTGAAGAAAACCTTTTCCAGGTTCCCAGCTCATTATGGATAAGGTACATGCCTCACTTAGATAGGCATAGAGAATGCAGGAATTCTAGGGACAATTGCTCCTCAATAAGTATATGTTACAGAAAAGTGCAAATAACAAAACCAACACTGGCCCACCTAACCAACTTGCTGTTTGTGCTGAATGCACTCCAATTTGTGGTGAAATAGTCATTCCATGATTGACTGAATAACTTTCATGTGTGACACCAGATTTCACTATGAGCCCAAGCTGGACTCAAACCCATGATGCTCATGTCTCAGTCTCAAGAATACTAGTACTACAGGTATGTGTGGTTATGTGAGTTCCAGTTCATGAGTTATACACAAACATTTAGAGGTTCACAGACTTTAGCTTTCACTCAGTCCAACTCTGACCATCTGGACCCATTTCAACAATTTACAGCTTGAATGGCCATCAAAGCACAACTTCAATATCATTAGTATCACTGACATTTCCAGTTTTCTTTTCTACTCTGAATTTGCTTAACTTCACATATAAACCCAGCTAACAGTTCTCTTGATAAACCCATAGGAAGGTTGAGGCGATTGATTAAAGTGGAGATTCTAAATTTAGAGGTTAAAAGGTCAAAGTAGATCCCTTTCAAGCTATTCAGTTCAGCGTGACTACAACATGATTAACTTGGTAAGAATGTACAAAGTCCACAACAAAAATATACTAAGCACATCCCAATATGCCAAGAAACTGGGGAATGAGTGAGTTACTTAAAGGAGGCTGGCGTACAACATTCAAACATTAAGCTCCACTTTGTTCCACGACTCAGGCTTCTTAAGAGACTGCCATAACAACTAAACTCCATCCTCCTAAGAGCCTGTCTACAATAGCTTATGAAGGAAGGGATAAGAGCCAAATTCCAGGTTGGCCTCAATTATGTGTAAATGTCAATGTGCTTTTCCCACACAAGGAAACATATGCAGGTCCTGAGGCAGGCCTCTTTTAAGGGAACAGTCAGGTTCTTTCTAAGTTTTTTCACCCCAAAGGACAGACAGGAATGTGCTGTTGCTCTGATTCTTTGGCTAGATAGAATCACAGATATGTTTATCATTCCGTTATAATTCTTTACACTCTAGACTTTACATGTGCAAACCGCTCCATTTTAGAGATCTCGGTGTTTTAGCAAAGTCCAAACAGCATCAGTCTAGTGTTATCATGCCATGTGTATGTTCTGGATTAAGGCCCTTTTTGTTGGTTTGGATTATAAACCACATTGCTTGATAAGTATCTGAGAAAAATGGGAGTGGGTGAGCTGGAAACGAATGTGAACTTCACTTATTCTATGAATACAATCCTAAGGGGGAAAATACTTCTTGCAAATGTTTAGTTTTCTAAGTATCTTTGTAATGGAGCAAAACCATATTCTTGTAAAAAAAAAAAAAAAGTGCCGAGGTTTTCATTTTGGTGTAATTTATTCTCTTTTGGTCAGAGAGGTCAACAACGAGGTCAACAGTTTCCTTGGTAACATCCACCTCCAGTCCACCCTTACACTGCACTGAACTTTATTATGCTCGGCTTTAACGACAAAGGTTTTTGGTTTGGCTTGGTTTGGTTTTTAACTGTGAGAACTGCCAGAAGTTTGGAGAGATGGCTCAATGGGTAAGGAGTGCCAATACAGAACACACAAAAAGCTTGCTTAGCAGTACTTTGTAATCCCAGGTCTCTGGGATGGGAGCAAACAGGTCACTCCTGGCGAGCTCCAAGGCAAGCCAGCTTGACATGTATGTGCAGGGACAATTGAGGAGATTCTGTCTCAAGCAAAGTGGAAGATAAAGACCAATACCCAAGGCTGTCTTCTGAACTGTATACATACCCACACACAACACCCATGTGCACACATCACATACACACACACATCATACACACATTCATAAGAATGACTAATGTTGGGTTTATGTGCTTTTTCAAGAGAAATATAATAAAATGGCATAGAAAGGTAATTTCTCAGTTATCTCTAATTTTAAATAAATAAACATTATGATTTATTCCATATCTCTTTGGTTAAGTACTTGGTATTTCCAGCATAACATATTAGAAATTCACCTAGCATCAAAGACATGTTATTTAAAAGATAGAGTTGCTTATATTGGCATCTGGGTAACATAGTGTTAACATTTAATTTCCTGATGCTTAAAGCAAGCCTACCCTTTGCTTTTAATGTATATTGAGTATAGAATGCAGTACCATAAAAGATATTTCTGTCTCAAAACTCAAATATTCAATCCAATCAAATAACACACCCCGTACAACAGTCAGTGCATTAACACAATCTATTTTTCTCCATCAAATTCCACACAGCTTTTTGTTGTAATGCTCATTTTGTTTCACGAGTAGGGAATCAAGATTTGAGGCAGTTTTCTCAAAAGAGCAGTAGTGACAACCTTGAGTTACCTCCCAGAGCTTAGCGTCCCATACTGCCTTATTGCTCACTCCATGTATTTAAAGTTAGTCATAAGGAGACTGGTTGGAAATTGGCTCAAAACAGGCTCATGCTGGGCAGGAAGAGGTTGAGAAAATTTTACCAGATTTTAAACTAAAAAAAAAAAAATCTTCTAGCCACTTTGGCTAAACAAACCCAAGACCACCTACTCCACTATTTCCCTGCAGCTATCACAAGGGAGAAAAATTACTCAACAAAATGGACAGGAAGGAGGTGCTTCTGATGAGGCACCACTGAGGTAACCATCTGGATTTTATGGCTATTTAATATATGCCAGAAACAAAATTACATACTTTGTCATATTATAAACATTAAGTAGGCCAGTCCACAGACCACCTACAGTTCCCTTCCAGAATATACTGCAAATTCAAACTATAGATCTTTGTGAACATGGGCATCTTGTTAGGAGATATTCCTACTGGTAAATGCATGAGGGAAAGGTCGCCTATCAAACAAAACAATCTGTAACTTATACAGAAAATGAAGGCTTTACTTTTAGAGTAAGAAAGCTTGAGGGCCAACAAGATGGCTCAGAGGGTAAGAGTATGTTGTGCCCAAATCTGACAACCTAAGTTCAATCCCCAGAATCCAGTTCCTACAGCATCCTCTTTCCTCTACACACACACACACACACACACACACACACACACACACACAATAAGTTAATAAAATAAAATTTGACAGGAGAGGACATTAAGACCTGCATCCTAAAGTCAAAATTGATTAGAACTTGTCAATCTTCTAATCACCTTATGAGTTTCTCCATCACTTACAAGTTTCAACTTTGAAGCAACTAATATATGTTTAAACTTTGAGTGACACTTCAGGAATAAGAAACCGAACTTACTAATAATTGTGAAAATAAACCTCAAAGTTGGAAGAATTGATATCCAGAAAACTTCAATGAACAGTAATGAAAACGTTTTGATTTATTTACTATGAATTAACTTTTACGGACAAAGAAACTAAAATTAATGTTGTGAATATAGAGACCCTATTGGATTAAGTTTTGAGACAATCCACAAAAAAGGGTTTTAACTAAAAATCATTTAACTAAAGACACTCATATTCCAATTGAGTCAGCTACGAAGTTTCGTACACATCCCAACACAACCTCAAAAACTTAAAAATAAGACGGTGTTTAACAGAAGTACTACAAAGAACTCATCCCTGAGTACTGTTAGATTTTCCCCAGAGTACCACAAATAACATCCAGAAAGCCAAACAAGACAACCTGGAAATGTTTCAGACGTGCCAAATCCAAGACAAGTAGAAGGTGTGGAAGGCCTGACCTCCACTCAGTAGCATTGGTCTTTTGCAACTCCTAAGCCATGTAAGTTAATATTGTGAGTTCATAAAACTCGGCAGTCACAGTAAAAGAATAATAATAATAATAATAACACAAATAAAAATAGGCTCTGGTTAGAGAGAAAGTATCCATTTACTGCCACCCCACTGAGGTCCATTTGACCACCAAAAGCAGAAAGCTATCAGCATCTAGAATTAATGGGTACAGTGGTTTTCAAAGAAGATATTTCCAGGATGGACACAATGTAGACTCAGCAAAGTTTCCCCTTCAAGAAAAATACAGCTTCTGTTTCAAAAAGTACTGATTAGGCTTAATACCATTAAAGGGGCCATCAGGGATGTGAGCTGTTGTCCCTGCTTGTAACTATCAGTTGCTTTCTAAACCAAAAATTGGTGGTAGTTAGTTAACTTGACCAATAGTCAAGTTTTAGGAATGCAAGAGCAAATCCAAGGTGCAGACGCAGTGCCCATGCACAGGCCCTTGGAGGTGATGGGGTTGGAATCTCTGCGGTTCTCAGACCTTAGCGTCCTCCCAGCATAGACACTATAGTTATGACCTGCATGGACTGCTGGTTAAACATTCATTTTCCTCAAAGCTCTCCATGAGATAAGAAATACCGAGTACCACACAATTTTTAGAAATTCTCAGGAAAGTTTATTGGTGGCAATGAAAAGCAGATACAACTAAAAACCAAACCAAGCAAATTTACAAAATGAAAATATTCTAAAGCACTATTAATTAATTGCCTACTATATATCTGGAAGATGTGGCTAAAAAGTTTACAATACTTTCTTTGTAAAAAATATAAACACCGAAGTTCATCTATATGTATCAGTCCCTGAAATTTAACAAGGTTCAAAAGACACATCAAAATAGTCTCTAAAACAAAGACCGTTTTGAAATTATTCAATTCTGATTTATAGCGATTATTTATATAAAAATTTTAAAATAGCACAGGTTTCCTAGATCAAACAGACAAATTCACATCCAAAAGTCCTTTTCATAAAATGCTTATTCTTTCTTGATTGTCAACATAATTTTCATTCTTGGCTGGATTTTTCTTCTTTGGCAATTCTTTTTGTTACACCACTAAAATATTTCTCACGGAAGGAATTATGACCTTGGTATGGCAGAAAATGATCACTCAGCAGGTGTGAATACTGGTCCCGGTTCTGGTAGGTAGATAGAAAATATAAAATAACATGTCAGTTAGCCTGCAACCACGGCAGTCATGTTCTCTAAGTGAAGTCACACTCCAAGGGATGTTTGCTTGGCTTCACTGTGTGAACACACATTCTACCACACTTAGGAATTCAAAGCAGCTTCACTTCACCTCACTAGATACTCAGAACTCTTCATGAAGGAGACACTTGCATTACTCAGGGCAAAGAAAATTCTGGAGAACGTGGTCAGACTACAACTACTTTGTCATTCCTGGTTTAACACACACTGAAATCACAGGGCAATGGATAATACCAAAGGAAAAAAGGTATGTACCAAGGAACTATGGCAGTTCTGTGAAGTCATAAAAACACACAAAGCTGTACACTATATCCACATCCATTAGAGTAACAAAGGATCCCAACACAGGAAATGCAGACGGGGTAAAGAAGGAGCTCCGTATGTGTAGACTTTACAATCAACAAGGATTGGTACTCAGACTGATAAGTTAATCTGGGTCAGAATGACTGGCATTCCAGTTTAGATGAGAGAAGACTGCTGGAAACCATGAAACAGTAGCTGCTCACTCAACTTCACAAACGATTTCAAGTTGTGAAGCAAACCTAAGTAAAAACAAAGTCCCTTGTCCTATGTATTTCATAGGCACTGACACATGGAGTTTGGAGATTAAATTTACATACCACTTTGCTGAATGACACCTTGCTGTGTTCTCTGGCACAAAGGAAACATAACACCGGCAGCAAGTCCCTCCCAGCTCTGCCTCTCTGTCCAGTACTCTGCCTATGGCTCCTATAGTAATATAACCTCTGAAAGCATACTATGTAACTTCATGGAATACCCTTCCCCAGTGAGGAGGACTGGGGAACAGAAATGCAGAATGCCCCAGCGCTGGGCAGCATGCCTCTCTGACCCAGGCTTCGGGTATGACTTTGTCAAGGAGGGAGAGCAAAAGCCAAGTACTGTGGAAAACAGGCTTCCTTTACAGACCAAAGAGAGAGTTTGGCAAGTAAATTATCATTGAACTAAAGGAGACGAATAAGACAAACTGGTGATACAGAATGGAGAAAGCGACCAAGGTGCAGTGTAGACACTGATGAAAATGTCACACCAGTATTTTGAACAATCAATGTAGACTCATAAGGAAAAAAAATGGAACTCTAAGCAGTAAGGGCAAACTAAGCCTTAAAAGACTGTATTTTCCTCAGTGCCCTAGAGACAAGGCAGCAAAGACAGAAAGTTGGTCCAGGACTGTTAACCATCGAAATGCAACTGCTCAGGGAACAGCCTTATCCTCTTCATATCCCAGGAAGCAGAGAGGGGTCTGTGTCAGGTATTGTATGAGTCCTGCGCTCAAATATTCACTTTTAAGATCACCTATCTCCCAACTATGAAACAGAGCATTACAGAAACTCCTGGAGCCCCAAAGCTCCACAAGTCCTGCATAGCCAAGGATCTGGCAGAAGTTAAGTCTTGCTCTGAGATAAGCCAGACAGCTCAGGGACTGTAGCTAAAGTTTCCACCTATGTGGAAACACCCTAACTGAAAAATGTTCCTCTTGGAACATCCATCATCACATACATAGAAATGCCCACATAAGATGACATCACCACAGTTGGGAACAAATCACAAATTCAATTTCCTCTTTTCTCTCCTCGTCCATCTATCTTTGGATCCCTTTACCAGCCTCACACTTGAGACAATGATAATCAACTCTGCACACTTTCCATCACCTTCACTGCTCTTCTCTATTCACATTCGCTGCCTAGAAATATCTGAGGTTTTGTTTCATTGTCCTGTTTTGTTTTGTTTTAAACTCACTATCTTGAAGGCGAACGTGTCTCTTTGAAAGGGGACGAGTATCTGCAAGCAACCGTCTTTGATCTTCCTCATTCCCCCAAGTATGCCTGGTGTTTGACTTTTGCTTTTTCTAACAGTTCCAACCCTGTCTACAGCTATCAATCATGGTGTCATTTATATATCACAGAACCTCAATTCTGTTTTAATAAACATGAAATACTGCATGCATACGAAATAATAATAATTTAAAAAAACCTGCACAGGAAACACCCAAAGTGAAAACTGTGGTGATGAAAATTAAAGGACAGCTTTGCCCAATTCAGGAACAGTAGCGCCATTAGCAGAGTAGCAATCAGATAAAAATGAACAAAATATTACATCTCATTACACTATTGCCTGCTGTCATTTTCTAACCAGTAACTAAGTGTCAGCAAGAAAACACAGAAGCCAACAGCTCTAAGACCTGTCTCCAGGTCTCAAAGTGAGCACTGTAAATGTTACAAGAAATAGACAAGTTCATTCAAAAAAGAAGTCCTACGGATTTGTTATGAACTGGGTCTTGTCTAAGGTAATTACTTAATTTTCTGCATTCTTCTAGTCTACATTTTGGAGATGGAGAAACAGAGATCGAGGGAGCTTTACCAATCTGCCACAAGCCATGCAGCTGGAACACAGACCTGCCAGACTGTGGCCAGAGTCAGACATCAAAAGCTCATGCTTTCTTCACTATACTTCTGTCCGTCTTAAAAGCTACAAGTTATGTGAACACATAGAAGACTGAGTCAATCTCCCACATGGTACATTAGTGGATCCTTTAAAATGGAGTCTGGCGTTTAGAGGGCACTCCTCCTGAAACAGCACACACTTCAGATCTCAGCTTTAGACGGAACCCTTTAACCACTGTCCTATCAGCACCGCTAATTCTAAACAGAAGCGCCTGGGAATTCTACCACACCGGCCAAAGGAGCCTCACAAGCCAGTGGTTCACTTCTATGTGCATACTGCCCTCTGCTGGCTGACGCAGACAGTCCTTCTTCATGGGATTTCCTGATGTGGACTGAAACTGTTTCCATATGAGAAGACTGTACACCTGACAATCAGGAACACTCCGTTTCATTTGCTGTTTGTAAGACTTGACTGTTCAGAAGGCCAAAAATCATACAAGCCAGTATGACCTTGTTACAGACAGCATTGTCATCTGTGCACATCATTTCATTCATAAAGAATGATGCAGAAATATGCGCTTCATAGACTCTAAAGTGGCACCATCTATCCGTGTACAAACTAGAACTGTAAGTCACTCTGCAGAAGAAGAAAGGAAACACTCAAAGTCACCTATATTCAAGTGGCTCGTGTGTGTTATGTATTGTTTTCAGTTTTGAGGCAGTGTCACTATTTTACAGCCCACATTGTCCTTGAAATCTCCATCTTCCTGTCTTTGACCCCAGAATAACCTCCAGATTATAGTCATGCATCATCACACCTAGATAATTCTGTTTAAAAGTTTGTACAACTTAACTCTACATAAAAAAGGCAGCATGAATGGAATCTAAAGGACATTAAAAGCAAAGTCCTGTAGAAGCACTTGGAATTGCCATTTTAAGTAGAACTAATGACTCTGGATTACAATAAGAATATTTTTTAATAGCGCACCTCAAAAACTAGAGGACACTGCTTAGACTGAACAGGAAGTAAAGGTTCCTCTCTGAGAAGCCCTTTCAGGTAAAATTATTTTCCTAACCGTTGCCTTCCCTCAGGAGTTTGCCATTCTCTTGTATCATCTCCTCCTCAAATAAGGAGAGGGGTTAAGTTTTCCAGTTCGGCTGCTTTTTAGTTTGTTTTGCATGGGAAGTAAGCCTACAAGACACTACAGGATTAAAATGGTGTGTCCTGGTGACTTTTAAAGAGTTCAGTAATGTAAAGTTTGTTTTATTATTATTTAAACAGGGAACTTCTAGCTAGCTCTCTAATTGCCTGTTCCTAGCCCCCCTTAAAATGGTTTAAACATTATTCAGTATGATTGTTTCACTTTAGATGAGGGGGCCCAAATAATCACTAAACAGTCACTATTTGTTCCTACACGCTCACGCATGGTGAGGTGAAGAATGGCATTCTGTGAGTTCACAGATCCTGGTGGGAGACAGACATAGAATGTCACACTGGTATTCAATGGTGGGATGAAACAGCAACCATGGGAATATAAAGAGGTCAAAGGGAAGGACGGGGTTGGCTTCTCTAAGGAAAGCACCCTTATCTGAGAGCTGCAGAATGAAGGTAAATCTTATCACACAGAGTGGAGGAGACACTCAACAGATGGGAGTCAACGTGAAAACACTGAAAACAGAAAGGTGAGTCCATTTTGGACCCTGAAAGGAGACTAAGGGTTAAGGTTTACTGTACAAAAGATGACATAATACCAATTGCACCTAGAAACATTCCCAGGAACAAATTAGAGTGATCTAGATGTTATATAAGAATCTGTAATTTTATTCTAAACTTCTCAGAGTCATCAATATAGTTTAAAAACTAGACTTTCACTATCTATTCCCTTTCTGAAAACTATTGTGGCCACTGTCCAGGAAATAGTGGAGGGAGAATGGGCAGAAGCAGAGAAGGCAGCTGGGAGACTTAAAATAAATGAGGGGAGTGGCACCTACCATGTATGGTTCTTAGGAGAAGGAAGACGGGATATAAATATACACAGGAATATCAGCTACTCAATCATCCCAATCCAGATTTCTCAGAAGTCTTCCTTAACTCCATCACCTCCACACCAATTATCCAATCACCAATCACACCATGTCTGCCTACTCTTAATTCACTTACATCCTCTACAGTTTCACATCCTATCGCTTCTGGATCACAGCTCATCTTTGCAAAGTTATTTCTGAAGCCTCCTCAGAGCATCCCACAACTCAAACCTACTACGTACTGAAGCCAGGGTACCCTTCATGAAACATACACTTCCGCCACTCTACCAATGAATATCCTTCACAGGCTGGCCACCACTGATAAGGTAACCTGAACCTGGTGTATAAGGCCTTTCACGTGGGTAGCTCTGGTTCTTCAGGTGTTTCTCTCCCAGATGCCCAGCATTCTACTGAAGCTGAAGTATCAGGATTCCCTGATTATCCCACAGCTCTTCTCATCCCTCTCTACCTTACTAACATGACAGCTGCCTACTAAGCGGCCC